CCCCCCCCCCCCCCCCCCCCAGCCCTGCCAGTGCCCCTCACTCCTGACCCCCAGCCCCGTCGGTGCCCCTCACTCCCGACCTCTCCCCCTGCTACTCCCGTCGGTGCCCCTCCCCCCCGACCTCTCCCCCTGCTACTCCCGTCGGTGCCCCTCCCCCCCGACCTCTCCCCCTGCTACTCCCGTCGGTGCCCCTCCCCCCCGACCTCTCCCCCTGCTACTCCCGTCGGTGCCCCTCCCCCCCGACCTCTCCCCCTGCTACTCCCGTCGGTGCCCCTCCCCCCCGACCTCTCCCCCTGCTACTCCCGTCGGTGCCCCTCCCCCCCGACCTCTCCCCCTGCTACTCCCGTCGGTGCCCCTCCCCCCCGACCTCTCCCCCTGCTACTCCCGTCGGTGCCCCTCCCCCCCGACCTCTCCCCCTGCTACTCCCGTCGGTGCCCCTCCCCCCCGACCTCTCCCCCTGCTACTCCCGTCGGTGCCCCTCCCCCCCGACCTCTCCCCCTGCTACTCCCGTCGGTGCCCCTCCCCCCCGACCTCTCCCCCTGCTACTCCCGTCGGTGCCCCTCCCCCCCGACCTCTCCCCCTGCTACTCCCGTCGGTGCCCCTCCCCCCCGACCTCTCCCCCTGCTACTCCCGTCGGTGCCCCTCCCCCCCGACCTCTCCCCCTGCTACTCCCGTCGGTGCCCCTCCCCCCCGACCTCTCCCCCTGCTACTCCCGTCGGTGCCCCTCCCCCCCGACCTCTCCCCCTGCTACTCCCGTCGGTGCCCCTCCCCCCCGACCTCTCCCCCTGCTACTCCCGTCGGTGCCCCTCCCCCCCGACCTCTCCCCCTGCTACTCCCGTCGGTGCCCCTCCCCCCCGACCTCTCCCCCTGCTACTCCCGTCGGTGCCCCTCCCCCCCGACCTCTCCCCCTGCTACTCCCGTCGGTGCCCCTCCCCCCCGACCTCTCCCCCTGCTACTCCCGTCGGTGCCCCTCCCCCCCGACCTCTCCCCCTGCTACTCCCGTCGGTGCCCCTCCCCCCCGACCTCTCCCCCTGCTACTCCCGTCGGTGCCCCTCCCCCCCGACCTCTCCCCCTGCTACTCCCGTCGGTGCCCCTCCCCCCCGACCTCTCCCCCTGCTACTCCCGTCGGTGCCCCTCCCCCCCGACCTCTCCCCCTGCTACTCCCGTCGGTGCCCCTCCCCCCCGACCTCTCCCCCTGCTACTCCCGTCGGTGCCCCTCCCCCCCGACCTCTCCCCCTGCTACTCCCGTCGGTGCCCCTCCCCCCCGACCTCTCCCCCTGCTACTCCCGTCGGTGCCCCTCCCCCCCGACCTCTCCCCCTGCTACTCCCGTCGGTGCCCCTCCCCCCCGACCTCTCCCCCTGCTACTCCCGTCGGTGCCCCTCCCCCCCGACCTCTCCCCCTGCTACTCCCGTCGGTGCCCCTCCCCCCCGACCTCTCCCCCTGCTACTCCCGTCGGTGCCCCTCACTCCTGACCCCCAGCCCCGCTGGTGCCCCTCAGTTCCGACCCGCAGCCCCCTGCCCACTGCCCTGCCCTGCCCTGCCCCTGCCGGTGCCCCTCACTCCCGACCCACAGCCCCCCAGCCCTGCTGGTGCCCCTCACTCCTGATCAGCAGCCCCTTGCCCGCTGCGCTGCCCCAGACCTGCCTGTGCCCCTCAGTCCCGTCCTGCAGCTCCCTGCGCCCGCCCGGTCCTGCCGACGCCACTCACTCCCGCCCCGCAGCTCCCTGTCCCCGGTGCCCCTCATTTCCGACCTGCCCCCCACCAGCTGCCGGTGCCCCTCACTCCCGCCCGCAGCCCCTCACCTCCACAGGTGGTAGAAGAGCAGGGGGATGTTGAGTCCCAGCGTCACCCACTCGGCCGCGCAGAGAAACATGAGGCAGAAAAGCCCGTGGATCGAGTACTCGGGCACCACCAGCTGCGGGAACCCAGGCCCGGGTCACAGACAAGTCGGCGAACCCGGGTGTGTGGCTCAGAGACCAGTCAGGGAGCCCAGGCGGGGGGC